TACTCAGGACGTAGATTGCGCAGTCAGGAAGTCCTTTTGCTTCACTGCCTTGCGTGCAGTGATGGTGGGCACTCGGACACAGGTCCTTTGGGTCAGAGTTCAGACTGATTACGGTGTTGTTTTGTCCGCCACAACCATTTGACACAGGGTGCGCCCCCTGGTGGTTGCGGCAATCTGCGATCCTGGAGGCGGCATGATTAGCAGTGGCTTGAAGCTGCCGAAGACACGGAGTCGATGATCATGCTGGAGGGAGGGAGGCGCCCCAGGCACATGTTCCGTGAAGTTCACTCGCGGCATGGCCATTTTTGGTCTGGCAAGCGGCACTGTCGATCGGCGTCTGAGAGGGCTCGCATGCCCAGAAGACGCGGGGGGGGGCCAGGGCGCGGGCAGCCGAGTGGGCGTAGCTGGTGGCGGCGATGCTCGGCTGTCCTCGCGCTGGCTCGCTGTTCCCCAAGCAGGCGGAGCTGCTAGAGGAAGAACAAACAACATCAACATGGGGCGTTCCAGAAATGGCCTTGCCTTCAAGGATCGAAGGGATTGCCATCTCCTCCGCGGCGGAAGGTCGGCGGAAGCCAGTGGAAGGCTGGCAGAAGCCGGCGGAAGTAGACAGAGCACCCCCAAGAGATGGCAACATGTTTGGGTGCGTTTTGGATCGTCTCCTCCTCCTCCTCCAACTGCTCCTCCTCCTCCTCCTCCTCCTCCTCCTCCTCCTCCTTCTCCTCCCTCCTCCTCCTCCTCCTCCTCCTCCTCCTCCTCCTCCTCCTCCTCCTCCTCCTGGGTCCTCCTGGGTCCTCCTCCTCCTCCTCCTCCTCCTCCTGGGCCCTCGGAGCTCCGCGAGGAGCTCCGGAAGCCCGTGTGCCTGCGCGGCGTTTCTCTTCCGGCTGCAGCGCCGTGTCGGGTGCCCGTGGCCTGTGGCCCGTGGAGATTTTCAGGGGGGGGGAAGTCACACAGGCACCTGGGAGAATACGGGGAGTGGCGGGGGGGGGGGGAAGACGAAGGCCCCGAAGGTGTGGGGAAATGGGGGGGATCCTGGGGATTTGTGTGCATTTGTTTGTGTGTCCCGGGGCCCCCCCCTCAGGGTGGTCGTGGCAAGTGCCCCGGCGCGCTGCGCGGCATCCGTGCGTCGGAGTGCCCGCGGCCCGCGGCCCGTCGCCCCCGCGGGGTGTCGGGTCGCGGTCGCTCAGGCGCGGCGTCGGAGTGCCCGTGGCTCGTGGCCTCTGCACGCCCAGAACTCCGGCCGATTCCAGTCGAGGGCTGCCTCAGGCGATGGCAAGCATGGGCCGAGGGGGCGCGGATTGGCGACGGGTCCCGCTTCCACTGGAGATCGCGGATTTCCGCCGCCGGGCGAGGCGGCACCGGCCGTATTTTGGGGAGGGCACCTCCCCCGATCCATGGATTTGGCGGCCGCGCGCCAAATCCATGGATCGCTAATCCATGTCTGCGCGCCCCCGAGAGAGAGAGAGAGAGAACAAAGGGAAAAAAAATAAAAAGGCCGAGCACGCGAGAGGTTCACTGGCAGGGAGGTGCAACGCCGCAGGAGCCGTGGAGGGCTAGCTCGGCAGCGATACATGGGTTTCGCGGCGGGAGTAGCGGAGGTGTCACGGCAGAAGCCGCGGAGGGGCCCGAGGGAACCCAAGCTAAAGCGACTTCACAGGTTGTGCTCCAATCTTTCGCAACGCGGTCCCAGTTTCTGAGGTCGTTGGACGGCGCACCTCATTTTCTTCTCGGGGATGATTTCACGTTGCATGAACCAGCTTCGCTTTCACGGGACGCCGTTTCACGTGTACAATCGTGTTCCCTGGCTTGCGCAGCAAATGTGCGCAGTCTGCGACCCGGCCGCCTTGTTTAGGAACCTAGTGGGCCCATGCTGGGAGCCCGTTTTGGACCCCGACGAATCGCTTCTTGAGGTCGCTCTCTCGGGGTGCTCTTGGGTGCCTGCGGGGCCATCGGTGTTCTTTTTGGGCCACTCTCAGGGCCATCGGTGTTGAGGTAGAAGTGGGCGCAAGCTGCTTTAACAGCTTTAACGCCAGTTTGGGCGCAAACTGCTTTAACAGTTTAACGCCAACTGTGTCGCAACTGGTTTGGCTGGAGTCATCGTGCTCTGCCAGGAAAAAAACTCTCAGGGCACTCTTTCGGGCCATCACCTCCCCGGCCGGTTCTGGAAGAGCTTGTTGTGCCAGAGCTCTCACGCTGGGGGGGGGGCTGCTGGGGTTCGCTCCGGTGCGTCGCGCTCGGATCAGGCCTCCTGGTGGAGCACCTCCTGTGTGGCGCTGACCGGGGTGAGCCCAGATATCCAACGTATCGACAAAATCATGACGGAAGTTTTTTTCAATTTTCAGCCTCTAAGGGGCCCCCGCCGGGCCCCGGGACCGTCAAAAAACGACTCGGGATGAAAAACCGGTCCCGGGGAATGGGTCGAGATTTCGGGGGACCGCGTATCGAAAAAGCCACGACGTCGGGCCTTTGGGAGCGGCCAGATCCGCAGCCATCGTGGCTCGAGGTCCAGGCGTGGGCTCCCTGCAGTGGCAGGAGCCGCGAGCCCGCACACGGACCCGCCAGGCCATGCCGCAAGAAACACACCCGCCAGGGGAGCGGCCTGCCTCCGCGAGCAGGGTGGCCGCCTCGGCGCCCAGGCCGCGCTGGCCCGTCAGTGCGACCGGGGCAAGGCAGCCCGCCTCGGCGACCAGCCTCGGCAGCCCGCCTCGGCGACCAGCCTCAGGAGGGAGAGAAAAAAACACAGACACAAGTGAGCGTCGATTCCCCTCGGAAAGTAGGGGAAAGTACGGGAAGTGGGGGGGGAAAACCAAAAATGGAACAAGATGGGGAATCCTGTTATTTGTGTCTATTTGTTCAATCGCTTCGCTCATTCCGCCGGCCCATGTTGCATGATCGCTACTGCTTCGCCGTGGGCCCGGGGCCATTGTGGCGCCGCCGAGGAGGAAGAAGATGAGGATGGGGAAGGGGATGGGAGGAGGAGGAGAGGATGAGAAGGAGAGCAGGAGGATGAAGATAAGGAGGAGGAGGAGGAGGAGGAGGAGGAGGAGGAGTAGGAGGAGGAAGAAGAGGAAGGGGCGGAGGAGGAAGCCTCTCGTTGGCGTCTTGTGTTGCTCTTGAGGCCAAACAGGGTCGTCGTCAAGATGCTTCTTTGGGAGGCCTCTTGGGGTCTTTTGAGAAGCCGTTCGGGGGCGCTTGGGAGGCATTTTTGAAGCCTCCTGGGGGGCCTCCTGGGGGCCTCCTGGGGCCTCTTGGGGGCCTCTTGGCGGCATCTTGGGGCCTCTTGGGGGCCTCTCCGGGCCTCCTGGGGCCCCCTTGGGGCGGAAGGCGCGAGGTTTCGGTTCGTGGTCCCCCTCTTGGGCCCCTCTTGGGGCCGTCTTGGGCACCTCTTGGGCCGTCTCGGGACCCTCTTGGGCCCTCTTGGGGCCCTCTTGGAAGCCTCTTGGCCCGTCTTGGGGCGCTCTTGGGGGCCTCTTGGGCCGTCTTGGAGCATCGGATGGCCGAAAAAGGGACAAGGCCCAAATCCTTCCAAAACCATCGTAAAATGTATGATTTGGGCCTCTCGGGGCCCTCTTGTGAGGCCTCTTGGAGGCCACTTGGAGGCCTCTTGGGCCGTCTTGTGGTCATCATCGGCGTCTTGGAGCGCTCTTCGGGCGTCTCGGGGGCCCTTTGGGCAGTCTTGGGGGCCTCTTGGGCCACTCTTGGCGCGCTCTGGGGGGCCTGAGAAGCCACACCCAGGAGGAACACCATCTCTGGGTAGCAGTGGTCGCGCTGCGGTCGGGGTACTCTTCGCCGGGGGACCCCAGGGGCCGCCCCGCGCGCGCGAACTAGAAATGTTGTTAACCAGTTACCAGAGATCTTAGCACCCCTCTGGCCCGTTGGGCCGGCGACAGGCGGCTGGTTACATTTTTCGCCGCGGCTCCCGGCTGGAAGCGCGCAGAGCGGAGGAGGAGAAGGAGGAGGAGGAGGGGGAGGAGGGGGAGGCCCGTTGGGCCGGCGAATTCGTGTGTCCCAGGGCCCCCTCACAGGCGCGGACCTCCTCGCCGGCGGCCCGCCGCGCGGAGGTGCGCAGCCCGCTGCTGGCAGCGGCCCACCCAGGCAGAGGCCCCTCTCGGCCGCACGCCTCTGCGGCTCGGCAACCCTGGCGCCCAGGGCTCACAGGGTCGCCACCGGCGAGACATCTGACGAGTCTTCGTTCACGCAGCCAGCTGTCGCCACGGCCGCCGTGCAGCGCCGCTCGGCAACCCTGGCGCCCATTGCTCACAGGGTCGCCACCGGCGAGACATCTGACGAGCCCTCGTTCATGCAGCCAGCGGTCGCCACGGCCGCCAGTGCACTCCGCAGGGTCAGACCAGTATCGGCCAGCCGCTCCAAGAGCTTCGGTCTTCTGCCTGGCCTGGGGGCCTCTGGGGTGTCACTGCCCCCTGCAGCCGCGCCCCAGCGGCCACACGATTCTAGCAAGGAGGCGCCCGCAGCCTGCGCTCTGGCGCCCGCTGCCGCACCGCCTCCGCTGTCATCGCCAGACGAGGCTCCGTTGCCACGCGCGGAGGTGCCAGCGCAAATCCTCCCGGAGAGCCCCGCCGGCGGCCAGGCCACGCCGCGGTGGGGGAGCGAGACCCCTCTGCAGCCGCAGACATCTTACGAGCCCTCGTTCATGCAGCCAGCGGTCGCCACGGCCGCCAGTGCACTCCGCAGGGTCAGACCAGTATCGGCCAGCCGCTCCAAGAGCTTCGGTCTTCTGCCTGGCCTGGGGGCCTCTGGGGTGTCACTGCCCCCTGCAGCCGCGCCCCAGCGGCCACACGATTCTAGCAAGGAGGCGCCCGCAGCCTGCGCTCTGGCGCCCGCTGCCGCACCGCCTCCGCTGTCATCGCCAGACGAGGCTCCGTTGCCACGCGCGGAGGTGCCAGCGCAAATCCTCCCGGAGAGCCCCGCCGGCGGCCAGGCCACGCCGCGGTGGGGGAGCGAGACCCCTCTGCAGCCGCAGGCAGCCCCGCCCAGCGCGTGCCATGACGTCACCACGCAGCAGGCCGCCGTCTCTGAGGCGGACGATGTCTCCCCCGGCGGTGAGGGATGCGGCGGCCCTGGGGGGCACAGGAGGTTGCTGTCGAACTCGAGTGCCACCGAGGTGCCTGAGGACGACGATTGGTCGCCGCGGGAGCTGGACACCAGCGTCTCCCTCAGCTGCTCCGACGGCTTCGGCGGTCGATCTGGGGAGTTGCTGGACGCCGCTGCCCCCTGCAATGGCGCTCGGGGAGCCGCGTGCCGCGAGCAAGGAGGCGCCCGCAGCCCGCGCTCCGGCGCCCGCTGCCCCACCGCCTCCGATGTCATCACCGCCAGCGCGCGGCACCACAGCGGCGGCAGCGGCGCCAGTCGAGACTCCGTTGCCGTGCGAGGAGGCGCCAGCGCAAATCCTCCCAGAGAGAGCCACGCCGGCGGCCAGGCCACGCCGCGGTGGGGGGGCGAGGCCCCTCTGCAGCTGCAGGCAGCCCTGCCCAGTGCAGGCCTTGGGGCCGAGGCGGACGAAGCCTCCCCGCAAGTCGAGGCCCCCTTGCCGCGCGAGGAGGCGCCAGCGCAAAGCCTCCCGGAGAGCCCCGCCGGCGGCCAGGCCACGCCGCGGTGGGGGAGCGAGACCCCTCTGCAGCCGCAGGCAGCCCTGCCCAGCGCGTGCCACGACGTCACCGCGCAGCAGGCCGCCGTCTCAGAAGCGGACACCGTCTCCCCCAGCGGCGAGGGATGCGGCGGCCCCCGGGGGCGCAGCGCGCCGCTGTCGGAGAGCTCCCTCATCGGGGCGCCTGAGGGCGACGACTGGTCGCTGCAGCAGCTGGACACCAGCGCCTCGGCGCGCTCCTCGCGCTGCTCCTCGCCTCGGGGAGGCAGCGGCCGTGGCTTGCCCGAGCTTTCCGCCCCCTCCAGGGTCGACGACAGCTGGATGCGCGAGGTCTCCCAGCGCCTCGCCCAGGGCACGGCATGCACCAAGGTGGGCAGGAACGGCAAGCCGTACCTGAGGAAATTCCGCATCGACTCGAAGACTTCAGAGCTCGAGCTGCTCGGGGGGTGGATGGTCCACTTCGCTGTACCGCTGGACGACATCGTCGACGTTTTTCAGGGGCTCTCCAGCAAAGAGCTTGTCGTCTTCCGCAAGAACCACAGGAAGGCATCGACGGACGATGAGCTTGCGAAGTTCGCGATGGTGCTGAAGACTTCGTCGCGCACGATCTCCCTGATCTTCTGCTCCGAGGAAGAGCGCAACACCGTCGGCGTCTTTTTGGCGGTGCACCTGCAGTCCAGGAAGCGCGGAGCTACGTGCGCTCCAGTCACAGCAGACCCAGGTCCCCCTGCGCCCACTGGGGCCCCCGAGGGCAGGAATGCCAAGGCCCGGTATCGTTCAACTCATCCCCATCCCCACCCCCTTCGAGACCCCCACCAGACTACCACCCCAGTCGGGGATACACCCCTCGAAACCCGACGGGGACGACCCGTATCCCCACTGCCATCAGTGGGGGGGGGCAAGTCGGCCAGCGGGGCCCAGGCCACGCCGCTGGGGATGGGGGTCGGCTGAACGATGCTCAAAGGTGGCATACCCCGACTCCTCGGTGTACGAGGGACAGTACCGCAACCGCCTGCGGCACGGGCAGGGTGTCCTGACGCTCGCGGACGGCAAGAGCTACGCGTGCCAGTGGAGCGAGGGCAAGCCCCACGGCACCGGCGAGGAGAGGCGCCCGGAGGGGAAATTACGCTACCGAGGAACCCTCCTCCTCCTCCTCCTCCTTCCTCCTCCTCCTCCTCCTCCTCCTCCTCCTCCTCCTCCTCCTCCTCCTCCTCCTCTTCCTCGTCCTCTCCCCCTCGCCGTTGATATATGCTCCTTCGCACCCCCTTACGGTGTCGAGAAAGTGCCGTCCTGCCTTGCCCTGGACGACCGGCTCGGATAGCGGCCGCGCTCAGGGACCCCTCCCTGCGCACCCCCCTACGGTGTCGGGAAATGTTACTCCTGCTGTGCCCTGGACGACCGGCTCGGATAGCGGCCGCGCTCAGGGACCACCCCCTGCGCACCCCCTACGGTGTCGGGAAATGCCACTCCTGCTATGCCCTGGACGACCGGCTCGGATAGCGGCCGCGCTCAGGGACCACCCCCTGCGCACCCCCTACGGTGTCGGGAAATGCCACTCCTGCTATGCCCTGGACGACCGGCTCGGATAGCGGCCGCGCTCAGGGACCACCCCCTGCGCACCCCTACGGTGTCGGGAAATGCCACTCCTGCTATGCCCTGGACGACCGGCTCGGATAGCGGCCGCGCTCAGGGACCACCCCCTGCGCACCCCCTACGGTGTCGGGAAATGCTGCATGCCCTGGACGACCGGCTCGGAGGGACCACCCCCTGCGCACCCCCTACGGTGTCGGAAATGCCACTCCTGCCCCTGCTATACTCCGACCGAAATGCCACTCCTGCCTGCTCGGATCGCGCTCAGGGACCACCCCCTGCGCACCCTACGGTGTCGGGAAATGCCCCTCCTGCTATGCCCTGGACGACCGGCTCGGATAGCGGCCGCGCTCAGGGACCACCCCCTGTGCACCCCCTATGGTGTCGGGAAATGCCCCCTCCTGCTATGCCCTGGACGACGTGCTCGGATAGCGGCCGCGCTCAGGGACCACCCCCTGCGCACCCCCCACGGCGTCGGGAAATGCCACTCCTGCTGAGCCCTGGACGACCGGCTCGGATAGCGGCCGCGCTCAGGGACCACCCCCTGCGCACCCCCTACGGTGTCGGGAAATGCCACTCCTGCTATGTCCTGGACGACCGGCTCGGATAGCGGCCGCGCTCAGGGACCACCCCCTGCGCACCCCCTATGGTGTCAGGAAATACCACTCCTGCTATGCCCTGGACGACGTGCTCGGATGGCGACCGCGCTCAGGGACCACCCCTTGCGCACCCCCTACGGTGTCGGGAAATGCCACTCCTGCTGTGCTGAGCTGTGCTGAGCTGAGCTGAGCTGTGCTGAGCTGTGCTGTGCTGTGCTGTGCTGTGCTGCGCTGTGTGGGAAGGGGAGGAGGGAGGTGCGGGAGACGCGGGTGCGAAGAGGCAGAGAAGAAAACCAGAACCCCACTAAGCATGTGGGGACAAACACAGACCCAATGAATCGTCGATGCCCCAGAAAAGATGGGAACATATGGCAAGTGGGGGGGGAACACGAAAATCCAGAAAGTAATTATCCGAAAAGTCGGGGGAATCCTGGGAGTTGTGTCTATTTTGTTGCGCGTCCCCTTCAAGGTGGCCCGACAAGACTTTTTTCAGCGGATGCTTCTTGGATGGGCTGCGTCACGGGGAGGGGACGATGTCGTACCCGGACGGGTCTTCGTACGTGGGCGAGTTCGCCAGAGGACAATTCAATGGCCAGGGGGTGTTCAAGCGAGCGGACGGCAGTTGCTACCGCGGCGGGTTCTCCGACGGGCTGATACACGGGGAGGGCTACATGGAGTTCTCTTCTGGAGCCTGGAAGAGGTACGCGGGCCAGTGGAAGGATGGCTTGTACCATGGCGCGGGCACCCTCACAGATTGCCAGGGCGACACGATCAGCGGTCAATTTGTCGCTGGCCAGCTGCCCCACCAGGCCCTCTAGAGGCTCGCCGCAGAGTGGTCTTATGCGCGGTATGATAGTCTCGTTTTCGGCCGCTGATGCAGGGATTTGGCTTCATTCCTTACAAGAGTTGAATGTTGGGGCCCGCACTGTGCGTAGTCGTCCAGATCGAGCTGCCGAAAGGACTGTATTTGTAGGTTTCCGCTCAGCTTTGTACGGCCAATTTGGAGGAGCACTGTCACCTTTTCAGCTACATCTGATTGCCACAGTGAAGCGCATTTTGACAGGCTTGCTTCATGCTGATGAGCATGCGAGCACGTACGCGTTTTCGCAAGTAGATATCCAGAGTTGCCCAACATTGTCGGCTTCCGCTCAGCGTTACCTTACAAGAGTTGAATGTAAGGGCCCGCACTGTGTGTAGTCATCCAGATCGAGCTGTCCAAAGGACTGTAATTGCAGGGGAGCACTGTCACTTTTCCAGCTACACCTGATTGCCACAGTGAAGCGCATTTTGACAGGCTTGCTTCATGCTGATGAGCATGCGAGCACGTACGCGTTTTCGCAAGTAGATATCCAGAGTTGCCCAGCATTGTCGGCTTCCGCTCAGCGTTACCCGCACTGTGTGTAGTCATCCAGATCGAGCTGTCCAAAGGACTGTAATTGCAGGTTTCCGCCTAGCTTTGTACAGCCAGTGTGGGGGAGCACTGTCACTTTTCCAGCTATACCTGATTGCCACAGTGAAGCGCATTTTGACAGGCTTGCTTCATGCTGATGAGCATGCGAGCACGTACGCGTTTTCACATGTAGATATCCAGAGTTGCCCACACTTTTTCGGCTTCCGCTCAGCGTAGTCTGAGCAGTTTTGGGAAGCATCGCGACCTTGTCAGTGAGACAGTGTCGCTGCCAGGCTTGGCCGCAACCGCGTTTGGTAGAACGGGGCCCCACGGGAAACTTTCCGCACATATCTTCCAGTCAGTAAGTGTTCGCGGGCATGTTTTCGATGCGCGCATGGCCGAATATTCGAAGACTTCTGAGGGCCCTCTCGGAGCCGTCTTGGAGCCTTATCGGCTCTCTCGTGACGTGACATGGGCTCCCCGAGGTGCCTTTCTTTGTCCTGGGTAATTCTGGACTGTCCCAGGCCTCAGGCCGTGAAAAGATTGGCCGTCGTGAGTTCTTCGCACAGCCGGTGGCCTGTGGACTCGTTCTGCAACGCGCCCAGGGCATGGCGACCGTGTGCAGGTCGCGGCCGTGCACTTTTAAAGCAGTCGTGATGCAGGGGCCGTAGACACGCTAATGGCGATGCAGGTAACGGCGATGTGGGTGTCGGTGTTGCAGGTGGGGGGGGGGCTCGTGGCCAGCCCAATTCGTAGGAAGGCGCTCTTCGCGTCTTCCTACAGTCCGTTCTGCGCGAGTTCGGCGTCGCAAAAACCAGA